TATAACATATCTCTTACGGATTTTACGTTAAACTTATGTGTTAAAAGTTGTATCTATAACAACAATTGACCTGTGTTTATATCATGTAAAATAATTCCTCATCTTTCAGATTTCAAAGAGAGAAATGTACATGCTAAAGCTATTATCATACCCACATCCAGGTTTGGGCACAGACTTGTTATTTCAATGAATTCGTACCCACTATTCTAATAACCATGACAGACAGTCACTGACATGTTTATTTGACAAATAGCATTTAAAATGTAATTGTGCAACATGTATGGTCACATGACCACTTGAAAAACAGAATTAAATTTTTTATGATAGGTGCTAGTGCAGTTTCTAGCAGTATTACTTTACCTATATACTTAGTTTTTGTGTAGTAAATGAATTAATTAGATGCCAAGTTTGCCCTTAGATTTTATCCTTATTCAAGAGAATTTTTGGTCTGCCACATTTTATTTTTATGGTTAAAATATACTACTCTTTTTATTATGTATATATTATGTCCAAATTCTGATAGACAAACCATTAATGCTAATCAACAACAATGGTGTCTTTCTCTCCTTTTTCAAGTAACTTCTTCACTTCTTAACATCTAACAAACTCCCAGTGTGAAATAATATAAACGAAAATTAAAATCTCGCTTTTATATTCTCTAGCAGTTTACTACAATGGAGCAGAGCAGCATATTTTGAATCTGATAGAAGTTTTATGATTTTTGTCTATATTACGTAATAAACTATACAATTAGAAAACAAAATTAAACTCTGATCCTGATGTAACAAGAAATTTAAAAGTCTAAATGCTCAAGTTAAAATAAGATTTGCTTCATATTTATTGCTGATAAAAATTTTAATTCATATTTATCGCTGATAATTTTGTTTATATTAATTGCTTTAATCAAGTAGTTTTGATACACTGCACAGTTACACAATTTTTGAATTAGAATACTTCGTGCCAACGTTATCAACTTTTCAAAGCTATAAAATTAAATACCGATAACCTTAAATATTTGGAATAAGTTCATTACCAGATGTGACTTTTGATAAACTTCCTTCAGATGATGATATTTTCAACATTACCTCAGTCTCGTACTATAAAAACTACTCAAATTAAGCTGATCAAATTTCATAAAAGCGTATAAATTTTTATTCAAACTTTCTGATAAAATAGTTTTATTAAATGTTTAAGGTAATCCAAAACTAATTATAAAATTTTCTTTGCAAATTCTTTGCATTTCAGTCAGTAAATATTTTGTATTAAGAATAGTGATATTTCTTTTAGAGCAGTGGCTCATCAGAAAATATTTAGCGGATCAGAAAAAAAGTTTTTGAAGGTTATTTTTCTTATAGTAATATTGAACAGGGTGATGAACATTGTATTTAATAGTTTGAGTTAAAAACATTGTCAGAATGAACATATGCATGCAATACCTATATCTGTAGTCAAACAGGAGCCAGATACTTAATATATTATGGACTGTTGGCTAACATTTTGCAGCAGTGGAAGGACAAACAGATTATGTCACAGATGTTAAGCAAATACTGATGTCAAACGATGAAGATCACTATAATTGTGGGCAAGATAGTTGGTGGATAAAATTTGGTTCAAACAGGGTGGCACAACAGCAAACATAAGTATGGCTGTCCTCCGACAGACATTCTGAAATCATCTGATTTTCAGCTTTGGTGATTTGGCAATCCTGCTCCACACATTTGTCAATTCTGGATTGCTATTTCATCTGTGATTATTTGAAGGAAAAAGGTTTTACATAGTGTTTGCAGAAGATTGCTGACTCAAGACTGCCATCATCCATAAAATACATGCTATTCCCCAGGAAATATTAATAAGCATTGTGGAAGGCCTTCCCACATTGCCCCGAACAATGCATTTAAGCAGATGGAGGACATTATTTTCAAATTTCACTGATGTCTTTATAATTCATTTAATGCTTATGTTTCAATCAACTTATATTTATAAGCATTCACCATTTTTTTGTTGCTATTAAAGTGGGTAGATAGACTGTACAGCTCCCAGTATATTGTATCACATTTACCTATAATTAAAAATTATAATAATAATAAATGAATTTTTTATTATTATTATAATTTTTAATTATAGGTAAATTTCTGTTTTTAATTCATTTATTATTAATTTGATTAATTATATATATTTATTTATTTATCATTACATAATTTTCATCTGGGATTTTAGTGCAACCTACAACCAAATAATAGTAGCAAAGCTAAAGAGCTTGGATAGCATAATTTTAGCCTGATTATTATATTATGCCATAATTTATGTTTTTCATTTGCTTTATAACCACAAATTCATAAATTAAGTTATCTGCTAAAAATGCTGAAGCAGATACATCCCAATCTCTTACAATACAAACATTTTCAGTTTTGAGAGAAATTCTTCCACTTACTTTGGCATTATGCATTTTATATAAGGAAAACTTTCTTGCAATTTAAAAAATACCTTAACAGCCTTAATTTATGCCAACTACCCCCCCTCCAACAGCAGATAAGTAACACAATTATAGCAAAAGCCTGTAAAATCAAAATGGTGGGAAAATATAACATTGAACCATGAATTCTGAAACCAGCAAATTTCATTCTTTTCTTTAAATAAATATTTTTTTCATTGTTTCATTCTTCAGTAGTTAATATGCAGTCAGTTCACAAAGTAAGATAACAAGATCTCTCATAGGAGTAATAATCCTACTATTATTCAAATTTCTTACATGGAAAGTAACAAAAGATCCCAGTATTTGAATGCTATCGGCAGACCGTGCAGGTGAAACATGAGTGGTAAGGGAGTTGTGCAAATTATAATTTGAACAAATGATGATGTATGAAGTGAGATAAAGTTTCTCCATCTAAAGCAAACATCATACCCAAGAATTCATCAACTGTTTTTCAGATACACAACGTTAATGTCATATTATTTAAAAAAGTTTGGTTTTGCAGCACTGAACTTGATAAAGGCAAGACACTGTAAGATAACAAAAATCTGATCAGCTTCGGATTACAAATGTGTCACTTATGGTAGATAAATACATTTACCTTGGATGACAATGTTTGCACTCTTGAAGTTCGGATTCAAGATGATTATTATATTCAACATCACTACATTGTTGAGGAACTCATCATCTCAATAAATAGTGTGCAGAAGGAAGGAAAGAATTCTGTTTCTGCACTGTACTGATACAGGAAATGAGATATGGATGCATCATGCAGAATTTGAGACAAAACAAGCATCAATACCACAGAACCTACCCATTATAATTTTTTCTTCCAAAAACTCAAAATAGCTCTTCTTTAAAAAGAAAACGTTATGGTATTTGAGACCAGCAGAGTGTGTTCCTGGTTGATTTTCTTATATATTATGATACATCAGGATGCTTGCACAATATAATTTCCAGAAAACAGCCAAAATTTTTCTTAAACATTATTGTGTTGTTGTACAATAATGCATGCTTGTTTACAGCCCTCATTATGTGCAATTTGTTACCGTACTATCATTGAAAGACATGAATAATCTGTATAACAACCCAGACTTGGTACTAATGATTCTTCAGACCTATGAAGAAACACCAAGGTGGAATGTGATTCACAATTGATATGGCATTCAGCAATCCATCATGATATGAATATGGCATATATGGATTTGATACTGATTTCTTTTAAGACAGCACTTAAAAAACTGCCTATGGAGTAAAGTTTGTCTCTCAGAGGGTTTTTTTACCTTACTTTTTAAACAATCTTCATACTACAGTACAAAGTCCGCAATCCGTAATCGACAAAGTCCCGACGGGATTAGGGGTTTTTCCGGATTATAGATAATCAATTTAAATCTGGTAAGATGGCATGCAGAAATTATACAATTAAAAATATGAAACCGTAATTTATGAAATAAAGAGCAATTATGATCTAAAGGATATCAAAATTTACAAAAAAAAAAAAAAAAAAAAAAAAAAAAAGCAGCTTAATATTTATTTGCTTACTTTATTAAACATTTCTTTCAATGTAAGTTGTTTAAGTTGCTTTGTTTTTTTTTTTCTCTTTAATACCATAAACAGACATAATTTCTTGTTTAGTTACAAAGTTTCACTGTTCAAGTCCTGTAATTGCTGTGTCAAGAATACCGACTAACTTGTCAATCGAAATTTTTTCGTTTTCAACAACCGCTCTGTCACTTTCTTCACTATCGAAAGTGCGCATGCATAAACACATTATGAGCATGCGTAAGTTTGTGGCTTTGAGGTCCGGATCATAGATCATTCCAGATAATGGACGTCCGGATTACGGACTTTGTACTGTACCAACTATTATCTCTGGCATGCTTAATAAAGGATGCAATGTCTGAACTGCCAATATATAAAAGACAGATATTAAAATTACAGGTTAGGTGAAGGACGGTAACTTATGTAATACTTCCCCAACATAATGTATAGCAATGAAATATTACCCTCATCCAATAAATTCTGCTCTGGTATTTTCAAAAGTAAAACAAGCAAGCAGTAGTCATCAAACAGAAACCGCATTAAAAAAACAAAAAAACAATGAACTAAAACCTGCTGCTTATCAGATGGTCCCACCATAGTTAATCGTACACACTGTAAGAAAAAAAATTAAAATTTAATTAATTACGTTTAAATAACATAGGTATGTATATGTATTGTGAGAGTAGTTCCCATGGTTCCCTTTCAATTTTTTTTCCAAGTTTTTAATGGCTGCGGCTCAATTATTTTGGATAACAAAGTGTTATAGTAATTGTAAAAGTCAAAACAACTGATACATTTCAGATTAAAATATTCTGAAGTTTCGGCATTAGTAAATTTTAGCAAACATAAAAATTTTCTTCTATTTATATAAATAGAATTAACTAAATGCCTCTGTCTATATTTAACAATTTGAACCTTAATTTAAGATTCTTACTAACGATAATCCAGAGGTTAAATTTGAAAATGAGTATTTAGTCTTTAACATAAATTTTTATAAAATTACTGCTATGAAAATTTTATTCATTCAAAAATAGTTATAAAAAGTCAGATAAACACAGCTCTGCTTTGATAGAAATGGGGGGGGGGAAATCAAGGACTTAGCATTTAGAAGATATAATTTAATGAAATTGAGCAATTAATGGTGCTTTAAATAAATTATACTCATTACTTTATATTACAAGGGGTAACAATAAAACATTAATCTCACGTAAAATATACACATTCGGAATACATTAAATTGAGTTTATAAAGTTAGCTGCTTACTTTCTGAAATCATAATGGTATAGAAATAACAATAAATCAATACATTTTATAATAATTATTGCACAAAATCTTCCATTTTGAAATAAACATAAAATTACAAAATACACTAATAATATTGCACACTTTTTAAATAGCAGATTTTAGTGCTCCTATAAAATTCAATAAACTGGAATGTAACTTTCATATTTATTCTGCAAATGACAATACATAGTAAACAAATTTATAATTCCAAAACTGTAAAATATTTTTACATATAATACTTTACAGTTTTGGCATCAATCAGTTTTGCAATTCATAACTTTGTTATACCATCTATTTAAAAACTGAAACACAAGTTCACAATTTTTAAGGAAAATATTTATAAAACTTCAAGTTAAACATGGAACACTGAGCTATGATTAATTGCTTTTGTGTGCAAAATTGTGCAGTTAGGCTTGTGAGAGCTTTAGATTATATTTTCAATTTCAAAATAGTCTAATATTTCAAAAGAGCATGAATGAAACAATGACAGAAAGGTATCACACACACACACAAAAAAAAAAAAAAAAAAAAAAAAAACACCTCATATATATATATATATATAATTTTTCAAAATCAAGTAACATCATTTAAAAAGTAAGCTTCACAATGATAATAATGATAAAATATCATATTGAGGAGCAAATGATAGGATCAGTTGTGAATATTATTTTTCAGTGCCTTTTTTACAATTAGGAATTCACAGAAACTGTAAAAATGAATTCACATGTAAAAAACATTTATCATTTCAGCTTTTGAATATTTCTGTTAAGATGAAGTTCAGAAAAAATATTAAAGCAGATGCAAATATTTTTTTAAAATGCTTACTTGAATACATTATTAATTTTGCCGATTATTTAATTTTTTCTTATCATGGATACTAATCTAAAAAAACAATCTAAACAAAGCTAATTTATATGCAATACTGTAGATATAGCTCTTATATACTTTTCTTTGTTATTAATAATAAGCTGCTCATAAAACATGCGTAATCTCTGTTTGTATTATTACAAAATCTTGCACAGTTATAACTCTGAAAATTATTTTAACTATTCACCAAATACACTTACAATAAGTTTCAAACAATAACTATAGTAAGAAAATTCTTGGTTTTGTCATAATAAGGAATAAATTTGGCACTTCTATAAGTAGATCAATACTTAATGTAATTTTGTAAGAGAGAGCATATATAAATTATACCCAATTTACGCTATGAAAATGGTAATCATTTTAAAGTAAATTTCATTAAATTTACTATAAATCTGAAACAAAACCAGAAAAAATTTTAAAAACAATTTAGCATCTCCAACAACAAGTATCTCCCCCGCCCATGCATCTGAAAACTAGCATTTTTGAGTAATAACAGCATCACAGTATATTTTTTAAATTCAAACAGTATATCACAAAATATGCAGATGCTAAAAAAATTACTGTTACATTCCTTTAAAATTTGGCTTATAAAATATCTTTCAATTTACTTTTTATATTTACAACACTACTCCATAATTACATAACTAATTATAATTCACAACACAATAATATTTAAAAATATAATTTTAACAAAATAATAATTTTAGAGGTAAAATATTTGTAATAATTATTTATAAAATACTGATATAATATGCTGCTAATATTTTACAATAAATGCTAACAATGCTACAGAAATGCAACATTCTGATTACACTTCATAATTAAAATAACTGACTAATGTGAAACTTATCTTAGTAAACTTTTTTCACAAATCCTTCACAATGAAAATACAGAATTAATTTCTTAAATAAATATATAAAATTTTGCTTTATTTTCAACATTCTAGTGTTTTTCTTTATTTATTATTCATACATAACATTATTTTAGAATTACTATAATGATTAAATTAAATTCTGCTTTAAAAAGAAACCCTTTCATTGCTTAGCAAAATATTGTTTCATAAACAACATTTTAAAATTGGCGCAATCTGTATTGAAGGAGAGGTTTATATTTAAAGTAAAATATTAAATATGAAGCTAATTACACTAACTTTTAATTACTATATTCCAGAAATGTACCACTGAAAGCTGTTAAAGATTTCTTTTATCAGATCATTAAAAAATATATTTTAAAGAGGCATCATCTTAAGCATTTGATATCAAAATTTACAACATAAATATCAGTTAAAATATCTCTAAAATAAGCATGTGAAATATCATCTTTATGTTTAAGTGTTATGCAAGAAAATATAAATATAGAAATGGAATGTATATAACTATTTACTGAAACTTCTTACTTCATAATATATATCATTTGCAAAGTTCAAGTCGCTTTTTAATTTGCACAATTTATAAAACATTCAACATACTAAAATCCAATAATTTAATAAAAGTCATTTTCGACATTCAAGAAGTCTCTAACAAAATAGAACATAAAACACATATTTTGCTAAGATGCATGGATTTTTAAACACTTCAAATGTTTTAAAGTTACACAATTTTCTTTTATAAACTCTGTAAATTAAAAAAACAAACAAACAAACATTTGAATAAATCCATATAATTACTGAAAATTCTGTTACTACAGATTTTAATTTTTGGAAGAAATATTTTATTATACCAGAATTCAAGTAAAATACAATCAATAAGGCTTAATATTTACAAATTGAAACATGTACTATAATAATATTCTTACACAAAATAACAAGAGTATCACATATCAGCTTCTTTTTAAAGAGAAATCGAATACATAAATTAAAATGTTTTCAAAAATATATTACGACTGACAGCAAAATAAATTATCATAACTCATCTTCACTATAAATATAATTCTTTAATTCAACAATGTGAAAGCATAACATTTACTTATTTTCAGCAGTTAAATATATTACAGCAAATAAAATAATACTTAAATAAATGATGCATTATAAAGGGTTTGAATGCATCAATAAGAAATAAATATCTGCAACAAAATTTGCAAACAATAAAAATCACATATCAAACAAATAATTGAGAAATAATATGTTGCAATTTTTCTGGAATGCGCATGGGCCACTCATACTCATTTGGCACAGGTCCATCAACACCTGACTCAAAAAAGTAAAAAAGAGGAAACCAAATTCTAGTTCTCCTCCTATCGTCACGGACAAAGGCTCTATTGTTTGCAAGTGCATGATAGTATAAGAAAAGGCGAGTAGAAATATAAAATGCAATGAATATATCTATAGAATAATGCTCATGACCAGCTAAAATGAAAAATATACCAAAGATGTTCAACACCCATGTAAAAGTGTGTAAATAATACATGCTCCTTGGAGTGTCTAGAAATATAAGAGAAAGATATTAAATATGATTAGTTCAGTTTGACTAAAAAAAATTCTCATGAATAAAAATCCAATACATTAAAATAGCCAAAATCTTAAAACTTTAATTATAAACCTGTGATGTAATTGGTACAAAACCTAACTATAAAACACTGATATGCAGAAACCTTAACACAAAAACATTAAAATTTATCTTTCTATTTTTCTTCAAATTGATACTCTATCAGAAACATTACAACATTGAAGACAAATCCTTCACAGATAATTCTGCTTGAAAACTTCTAATATAAATATAACATTTTAGACATAAATTTTGTTGTAACATTTAATTTAGTTTTTATTTAAATAATCGATATTTGGAGAAAATAATAATTTCAAGTACATCAATAATTATGTTTCTTAATATTCTTCCCCTCATTTATTTTAATATGTCTACACACTTAGAAATAACAGCTTAAAAATGAAATAGTGGATTAAATAGAGTTTAATTTTTTTTTTCATGTAACCAATCCATGAATCTACATTCAGAAATAACAGTTAACCATATACTAAAAAAAAATTGTAAAAAATATTTTCAATTAAGTTTAGGCAACACCGAGTTAATTTTGCAGTTAGCAAAATGTTAAGAATTTGAGATAAAAATATTAAAGGAAATTTTTATTCTTAAAAAGAGAGCTGCTAATCTTTTTAAGGAGAAGATTTCAGACAAAAACAAAGTGAACATTCAATACTGATAATTCTATAAACGGATGCTGAAAAAGAAATTAGATAATTAGACAGTTCGACCAAGGCTCAACAAATATTTACTGCACGAATAAAATAATTTTTACACATTTATCATCCTGAATTTTATAATGGTATTTTTATATACTAACAATTAATTTTTGGCTTAAAACATATATAAAGTCTCAGGTTTTAATGAAAGTTTTCCACCACCACAAATATCATCTTCACAAACAGTATGCGTTGGCATGTTTAATCATATTTTGCCAAGCGATTTTTGACATTTGAAAGAAGGAGACTTGTTTTAGAACACTGTGTAGTGAAATTTGTAAAACAAGTTTGCTACCATTAGGTACAAGGTGCCTGAAATGTAACTACCATGCTACCAGATTAGTGGTTATCATAAATTAAGGAAAAATCACAAAAATCACAATTACTGAAAAAGTTACACGTAGAATTTTATAAAACTTACCCACAATATACAACACATAATAAGGTATCAAATAACATAAAAATAAATTACCAGACAATTATGGTAGTATAAAAATTAGCACATGTATAAAATGAACAAATTGGAGGTGTCAGTTTGCTATAGGAAAAGTAACTTCAATAGGGAATATGGTCGCCTCTGGAAGAAATACAGCATATACAGTGATGCGTGATGCTTTCAATTATGCGGTCTATCAGATGAAAAAGCCATTCCTCTTGCAAAGCTGTTGCAAGTGCGGCAAGGGTCTTAGGGGGCAGACTGAGAGCAGCTAGACGTCTCTCTAAATCATCCCAAACCATCTCGATAGGATTCAAGTCCGGGGATCGAGCTGGCCACTCCATGCACATAATTGTTTCCTGTTGAAGATAATCATCTATGATGGGAGCCCTGTCTGGTCTTGAGTTATCGTCCTGAAACAGGAGAGCATCACCTATTGCCCCGGCACATGGGCGCACATAAGCATCAAAGATGTCATCTCTATAAACCAGAGCATTCACAGTTTCTGTTGGAAAGACATGGAGGTATGTGCATCCACCCAAAAAGATGCCACCCCAAACACAGACACTACCTCTTCTGTATGCATCTCTTTAATGAATGTTTGACGGATGATAACGGGTTCCAGGTTCTCTCCATATCAAATAATGCCTACTATCGCTTTCTAGACTAAATCTGGACTCATCCGTAAAGAGAACAGCCCTCCACTGATCAAGCGTCCAGTGGACATGTTGTCGCTATCACAGTGAAATATGTGGGCTTGCTCTCAAACATGGACTTTTATTCTCCTTGCAGATGACGTATTCAGAGTGCAGCGCCACTAATTTGCATATTGCAGTTTTACTCAGCTACTCTTACTTGGCAACATATTAAAATTTTACACGGTTTGGCTAATTTTTGAGGGGGTTATCGCTATTTTTGTGATTTTTCCTTAATATATGATACCAGTGTATTTCCAGTTCTCTTGAAAAAAGTCAGCTACAGAATGTCACCAAACCATGTGTACAGCTTTAGGTACTATTGTTGTATCATACAACACTGTAAGGATTTAATACCAAAAGTTCAGAACAAGGACTATGACATTCAAGAAGCAGAGTGCTCTGGCTGGCCTACTGATGTTGATGAGGCCCACCTGTGAGAACGTGCGGAAGATTAGTATGCAATCACTTGAGAACTTGCTATGGAGCTATATGTTAGTGCCAATGCCATTAGTCATGCTATGCATCGCATAAACTTGATGTACAAGTTCAATCACTGGGTGCTGCATGAGCTGACTCAAGCAAATAAAAGCAGATATGTTTGGGCCTACACTAATCTGCTCGAATATCAATGCATGGACAAAATTCTGTACTGGATAGTCACTGTGATGAAAAGTGGATTTATTTCAACAACACATACCAAAAGAACTTACCTATGTCCAGTGAGGCTATCGGCAGGGTCACAAAACGTAATTTGATTAACAAAAGGATCCTGCTTTGTATCTGGTGGGTTTGCCATAGTATTATTCACAAAGAGTATCACAATAAAGGTAAAAACCTCAACAGTAATGTATACAGTGGAATGCTAGTCCATGTTTATGCTACTATCACGTAAAAACATCAAAGTGAATTCCAACGCAAAAAGGAAATGTTTCATCAAGATAATGCAAGACCACATGTGTCTGCATACACCAGCTGGACTCTGTGTGGATTCGAATAGGATCTTTTGCCATATAGCCCTGACACTGCTCCTTTGGACTTCTATCTTTTTTTCACACCTGCAGCTGTATCTTGCTGGTGCTGTCTTCCATTCTGCATAGGACGTCCAAAATGAGGTTAATGTATTTTTGGAAGTTTCTGGGCAATACCAAAATGTTAGCAGAAAATCATAGACTTGGGTGGTGATTACTACCTGCACTAAAGGTACTGCTTTCATGTTTTTTCCCTCCTAACTTTATTAAGAACGCTTTTTTTTGGGGGGGGGCAGAAAACTTTTGTTACAACCAGATATTTAGAAAAACATGTCTGTGTATACAGCTTGTAAAATAAGCTACTGGTTAAATGCTTTTCTGAATTTGATATCAGAGGTCATGCTCTTCCGTGTATTTTTAGAACTTATATCAGCACTGCGCAGGGATCAGCACTAAATCCCAAACCCTTTTCATTATTATGGCTGGTACGGAGTAAGTGGCTTTCCCTTGCCAAATGGGCATATCTGGTGAAGATGTGGTGATTTAGGATTATGACCTATATCTAAATAAATTGGAAGATTTCCTCAATGCTACCTTGGAGACAATGTAGCTTTTTACAAATGAGCATAAACTGAGTTTTAATACTACTAAAACTCTGACCTGCCTCTTCACAATTAACAATTGTTTGTTCAATTATCAGCCAATGATTTATCAAAAGGGCAACTGCTTGAATCTACCAAGACCCCTATTTACTTGGAGTTTACTCTGGGTACTGAAATGAACTGTAGTGAACATATTAATAGACTTAAAAACGTAGAAATAGGCTACAGCTCTTAAAATACACATCTAGCAAGGACTAGGGAGCAGATGCTAATTAATAAAACTCACAGGATTATCTAAACCACGCTAATTCAACCAGTCCTTGAGTATGGCTAGCAGATTTATCAGGTTGCTGCACATAGTAATTTGAAAAAAATTAAGAGTAAATTCAATTAAGCCAGATTTAGTCAGAATTATCATTGGTAACAGAAATTGTTCTCCCAATGATATTGTCCTTCTTGAGGCTGATCTTCAGCCATTATATTTGACAAGAAAAGCAAGCTTCGCAAAGTACATTGCCAAGGTTAAGAGTTTTGGGTCCTATAATAGAACATAAAACTTTTTATAGAACTGGAAAAATAACCAGAGGTTAAAAGAGAACAGCCCTATTGGTTTAATGCAGAAGCAGGGTTTGGTGGACACTGATGCTAAACCATGTCTTCTTTTTAATCTATTGATACCTACTACATCTCTTGGTAATGTAACCTTTAATGAAGACTTGAAAACTAATTTTACCAAACAGAATGAACACCTATAGGTGCTGTGCCAGCTGGCTTTTGATGTTATTAATAATATCCCTTCTCATGCCTGGTCATCTACACTGATGGAAGCAAATCTGACTCTGGAAGAACGGGCAGTAGTATTTTTATGAAAACAAGTAAAGAGGAGTTTAGATATTGTCTTAGAAACCTGGACTACAGCTCAGTCTTGTTCTCAATTAACTGCTATTACAGAAGCTTTGAGTCTTGCTTTGGACTCTGATGTACCTGATGTATGAATATTGACACATAGCAGAAGTGCAATCCAATATCTGGATTGACCATGCATCCTGGATAAGTTGGGGCAGGATATGGTTTCCAGATTGATAATTTTGGCCCAAACTAGCCTTGTGTGCTTGCAGTGGATTCATGCCCATGCGAGTGTTTATGGAAATGAAATTGCTAATCTGCTTACTAGAGAGGGTAGTGAATGCCTCACTGCCCTTCCAACCAAATTATGAGCTGAGGCGCATTCCCTGTTTTTGACTAATCTTAATAATACTTAGAGGATTATACCAGACCATGCATGGTACACCACAAAGTACCCTGGAAATTGTTACTGCAGTGCTCTTGCCCCAGATCTGCTCAGATGGCTTTATCTGAGCTTAGGACTAGAAACATTAAGAGATCTTCAATGGAAATGATATGATATATGCATATTGGACTTGGTTTAGGGGCTTAATTTTAAATCCCAGTCCAGGTTTCCATCAACTTTTGACAAACACCTATATATCGCACATGCTATTCCAAGCTAGTATTTCAT